GTTGTCAGCGCAGGTCCATGGGTTAGGAATGCTAATGAGCCTCTTGGCCAGCTGAAGACTTGGTTCTCTCTCTCGCACACCCTGACGCTCACACACACTCGGGCTCCTGCATGCCGACTGACAAGCACACAGACAGAGCCTCCTGCACGACCCTGTCTCTCTCCTCTTTCCTCTGAGCCCAGAGATCGATCGCTGACCCCACAGTTGGGCCAATGCTTTATTTATCTGGCTGCGCAATGATATTATCAGCCTTAAACATTATATACAGCAAATGTCTTCCTAAATCAACACAATAGGATAGCTTGCAGAGACCAGCCTGGTCTTTCTTAAAGAAATCCCTCGCTATCTCTTTCTCTTTTCCCTCTCCCCTGCAGGCACCCCATCTCCCTTCCTTCTTTTCAGCTGGGGGTATTTTATATGCTGGACTTGGGGATTTGATCCCTTGCTTTCAGCTTGGTTAGAGGAGGCCTTCGCAGACCAGGAGATGGATAGACACCATTATCCAGCCATCACTGAGATCCCCAACAGGGGTTTCCCTGTCAGCCAGATCCAACTGCCTAGAGCCACTCTATTCACATGATCCGAATTTCTCAAAATTGGGGTAGAAGAGAAGGCGAAGGATGGGGAATGGAGTGTGCAACCTTGCACCGTGTTAATTGTTTTCTTTCCTCTCAATTACATTCATAAACCTATTTTCTGCATTGCATGTTATTTCTTTGTGCTTCAAAATTGAAACCACGTGCAGCTTTCTCCCCTCCGCACACACAATAAATGCGCTGCCCCCTCCCCCCAACCCATCACGCAACTGTTTACATCTTGGTTACTCACTCTGCGCTCCAGCCCCCGGAGAAGAAATTGGCCCCATGGGACTTGGTGAGGCTTTGTGAAAGCATCTCTCAAATCCGTTTGTCGGGCCCCCATTCTTGGAGAAAGGCTCCTGGATTCTCTTCCCGGGCCTCCCCCAAACCCCTCCTGGTACAGGTGGTTGAGGCTTACACAGGGAGAGCTAGTAGAGAGGACATCCAGGGAGAAAGGCAGCTTCGCAGTGTCCGGGAAGGACCACTCACCACCCACCCCACACCCTGGCTGGCCTGCCAGCCGGGGTCAGCTGTGACCACAGGCGTGCCTCTGCCAGTCCCTGGTCCCCGTGTCCTGGGTGCACAGACCCCGTGCAGGGAGAGATTGTTCCCTGGAGAGCATTCCAACCCCAGGTTCTCCCAGGCAAAGAAGTCCCACCATAAATAAATAAATAAACTCCAAAGTGGGGAGGGGGAGCTGGAAAATGGATTCGCTGACAAGGAGAGATAATAAATGAGAGGCGCTTTCAGATAGATATCTCAGACGTGAAATTGCGCCCAGCTGGTTGTGTAAGCAAACAAATAGTTTCATGTTAGGAACTCTCAACTTGTGGCTTGATGAATAGGACACGACAGAGGTAAATGGGTCTTTAACTCATTTAGGAATACAACTCTTTGGCTTCCCAAGTAAAAGGCCCAGTGAAGCCACAGATCCTGAGCAGGCCCTTTAACAAGAGTTTTATTAGTTCCCACTTGTGTCCCCCTCCACTCCTCACTATCCTCATAGTCTGCTATTTGCAGAGACATTCAGGTGATTTGTTCTGAGGAATTGCAGAGCTCACAGGAGGCGATTCTGCCACTGTAGGAGTCGTAAGGAGTGCCTACGAGTGGAAGAAGAGAAGAAAGATTTTTAAAAATAAAATCCCCCCACCTCCCTACATGCTTCAAGCAGACAAGCTCAGGTGGATTCAGACAGAGGGGACTCCAGATCCCATTGCCCCTGAATGCAAAGCTGGGTGGTTGGGCCTCTTATGAGCCAACCAAGACCCTTGTGGCTGCCAGAGGCCAAGAGTCTGGACCATCGGGAGTGGAGGGGTCCCCAAAGCTCATAGTTCTCCTGGTGGGCAGGAGGGATCTACATTCCCACCATAGGCTTCCACTCTGCCTGGTCCCAGGTTGGGATGTGCGTGTGGGGACAAAGTTCACACTTTCCCCCCCTAGTGTGAGTCCTTGTCCTCTGGCAGTGTATAAGGTGCAGACTCCTTCCCTAGCGATTCCCAGAGAAGAGCACAACCCAAGAGGGCCTTTCTGATGTTTTCGGCAAAGCTTGTGGCTAAGGTAGTTTAAACAGACTTCAAAGCCCCTAAAGTTCTCAGTTGTCCAGGAAGCCTTTGGATTAGAACAGCGAACGTTTCATTTTCCTAAGTCACTGGTGATTTTGACAGGGAAACCACCTAGTGTGGGCCACCCTCCAACTGTTAAGACGAATTTCCTCTGGTCCTGGGAAACGAGTCGGGCTCTACCCGGCCCAGTTAGCCCAGCCCTACTCTCCTAACTCTTTAGGGCTGCCACCGCCCCTGCAGGCGAGGTGTGGCTGCAAGCCCACGGTGACTGCCTGGCCAACACCTGCTGGCGCCCTCAAGCCCCGGTTCCACGGCTCCCCCTGGCGCCCCACGTGAAGGTGGGCTCACTGCTCAGGAACTCTCTGGAGGCCACCCAGGCAGAGGAGGCTCCCAGCTACTCACCTCCCACTCAGGTCCTGGGCCACAGCGGCAACCGGGGACTGAGGAGGCACAGGACACTGAACCCAGGGCAGCCTGGCCTCTACTGGGGCCTGTCCCTCTGCACTGCAAGGAAACCCCTGGCCGCTCCACCTTCAGCCTGCAGGACTGGTCACTGTCAGCCCACTGCGTGTGGGAAGGGGGAGCCTTCGTCGCACATCGTCGGAGCTGATAGCAGAGGGTATTTCCCAGTTATCAGAAGGCTCGACTCCCTAATTTCTCCTTAGCACGTGGAGATTTCCGAGTCCTGTCTGCCCTCTCTGTGAAGGAAAGCCAAGGGCTCCTGCAACCTGTCCACCCTGGCAGGGACGTCCACATGATCCCTGATTCCAGGGAGGCTCTGTCTCTCTCTGGATGAGACACACAGAGACCTCTGGTCCTGGAAACAGGACTGTCTCTCTGTAGGTAATGCAGGCAGGGGCCACCCCAGTCACAGAAGAGGTAGAGGAGAAACCCACTGCGGGGAGAGGGGGTGGGGAGGACGGGCCTGTGGAGCACTGGAGAACCCCCGCCTCTCCCTTCCCCTCAGCCCTAGGGCCCCCTGCTCCTAGAGGAGCCCGGGCGGGAGGCTGGGTGGCCACAGAAGGGCCTGCACTTCTTCCTAGGCTGTGAGGGTGGGCCCCAGGCTTAGAAAGGTCGCTGAGATTCCCCAGGTCATGGGCAACGTTCCAGCCTCGAGGAGCAAGAGCCAAATTAGCACTGTCACCTCTGGACACTGGAGCAAGGGCGGGTGTACATCTTGGGCTACTGCAGCTGGCGGCCCAGTCTCCACACGGGGCGCCTTGCGCTTGGGCCTCCATATTGAGATTAATTGAAAAATACGTTTCCGACCTACGAAAATGTTTATCTGTTTTCATCAGAGGGATCACACTGTAATGAATATATTTACATCTCATTTCAAGAAAGGCAGAAAAGAGCGCTGAGCTCTCCGAGGCAGCTCAGCTCCCCTCCCCCTCTGAGCCCTGGCTGCAGCCCACTCCACCCCAATCCCGATACCGCAGCCAGTGGCGCTCCCTGAGTCTTCTTGGGAGGAGGTTAACTTTGGGCTCTCCCCAACCCCTCCTGCCTTAGGTGTCCAACCTGCAGGGAAGTCAGCACAGGCCCAAAGACGTTGTTCCTGGGTGTGTTGCAGAGAAACAAGGGGCCCCAAGTGGCTCCATATCCTACCCGCCTGGCCGCCCTAGCTCTGGCCAGTCTCCAGCCTGGCCAGCCTGCGGATCATGGGCCTGCGGTGCCTTCTCCACAGAGAGTGCAGCACTGCCCATGCTGCGCTGCACCCAGAATATTAAAAACCACAAGCGGGTTGGAGTGTAGGAGCTGGTTAATGCATTTGGTGATGGTGAGCCGGGGGGGTGCCGGGGAGGGGACGTGGAGACTTCTAGATAGCACATGGAAAGCAAAACATTGCCAGTGACTTCTGAAAGTGAAGCTCTTCCCTCATCCGGGCCTGTTTGGGGCTGAGGGAAGGGGGAGGGGTGAGAGGTGTTATTTAAAAAGATCTGGCTTTATTAATACGTTAAGAAAGAGCTCCCTTGGCAGTATGTGTTCTCGCAGCGCCGGCTCTGATCCTATAAAACATTCATGCTCTGAAAGCTGTTATAGAGAGCTGCCCCCCAAGCACACCCACCGATAGGCCTCAGGGGGAGGCTTCTGCCCTCAAAGGGCCACTAGGGCCCAAATACCTCTTCTGTGAAGAACCCACTCCAGCCCTCTGACTCCCAGGTTCTGGGTCCAAGTCCCTAAATGCCAAGAGCAGGGCAGGGAGGGGTTCCTTTCACCCATCCGAGTTTCAGGACGCTTCTGGGAACCCATGTCACAGGGTCTGGAGTGAAGGGCAAACCACAGCCGACTCTTCAGCGGACCATAAACGGGAGCAAAGCCAGGACTCAAGTGCTGAGGCCCCAACCGTCTGGCAGAGCTGGAAAGATGTGAGATCTACCAGCGGAGGGCTCAGTGGTGTCTGAACGGCCGGCTCCCGTCACCCGCACCTCCCATTCTCCATGTCCCTCTGTAGTTTCTCCAGCTCACCAAGTTCCCACCTGCAGTAAAGCCCCAGTTGCCGCCACCAGACAATAAAGCAGGCTGGCCCCCGGTGCTGCTCACCTGGCACACAACTCTGCCTGCCCCAGTCCCTGGCCCAGCTGACCGCCTGCAGCCCTCAAGGTCTCAATAATTGAAGTCAACGACCAAGGCGCCCTGCCTTCCCCGCCGACCCCAGGCCAGGTAGAGCCTAGCCCTCCACATTTACAAAACCAAGGAAGCAGCTTGGTTTTAGGAAATGAATCTAACCAACTTGGTAGTAGACTTTAAAAGTCTCCCCTTTCACACACCAAAACCCCCAATTCTAATAGTAGTTGAGGTGGAAATTAAGCAACGAGTTCTCTTGCACGGATAACATCTATCAAGCAACCAGACACAAGGATTTTGCTAAATTCTTTTATTTTTGTTTAAATTTTCACTTCAATTTTAATTCTTGAAGAACAGCCTCGACAACATATATCGCACTCATTATAAGAAGCAAAGGGTTATATCAAAAATTATTAGTATAGAATCACAGGAAATCTGGTTTGGAACCAGAAAAAAATACAAAACAGATATAGATACATAGACACAGGACAATTTTTTATAATTATTTGGAAAATGTTATTTTCCCCTAATTCTTGTTTCCTTTTTCTTTATGCGCATACGATGTTTAAATTTTACAAAAAATGAAAATAAAGACTAGTATTTTACAAAATGAATAACAATGTTCAGTGTGGGTATGTTTCTACATAGGATTCAGTCCACTTCCGTATGTGTTGTTTTCTGTACAGAATATATCCACATCCGTCCACAATAAATCCTGGAAGGTCCATTAGTTTCCTTCTGTTTTATTAAAATTCTCATGGTCCTCTCTTCCAAAATTTTTTTCTTTTTTTCACCAGACAGACACAAGGTTCTTTTTCTTTCTTTGTTTTTTTTTTTTTTTTTTTTTTTTTTTTTTTTTTCACTTTTTTTTTTCCCTCCCCAAGGTGCTCACAGATCTGATTCTAAAAGAGTCTCTTTTTCCCATGCTTTGCAGCTCGGGTTGCATTTCTGCTGGGTGGGCTGCTCCTGTCTCGGCCCTCCTCCCTCCCGCCTGGCCTGCCTGGGCCTCCGCACCTCCCGGTGTCCCCGCGGCTTTGGAGTCCTTGGCCCAGGGGGGCAAGTGGGAAGCGCCCAAGGTCTAGGAGCACTGGATGGACATGTAAGGCCAGTTGAAGCTGCTCCCAGACAGTAACATATCTCGGATGAGAGTTTCGATGGGGGTTTTACCTACCAAACGGACGAAGAAGAGCTGCTCGATGACGGAGGAGGACACAGTGCGCAGCGAGGGCAGTCGCAGCAGCAGTTTGCCGAAGCGGCTGGGCTGGTTGGGATACTGGCTCCTCACATACTCCTCCAGTGCGCACTGCGACTTCTCCTGCAGGCTCTCGATGTGGGCCGCATCCGACAGGCCACAGGCGTCTGCTCGAGGAGCCACAGGAGGGAGAGACAGGGAAAGGGAGCACACGGTTAGGCTGACAAGTAGCAAAGGCACAAACAAGGCTTTAATTTTTTTTTTTTTTTAAGGAGAAAAGAAAAAATAAAAAAGAAGGAAACAAAAAAAGGAAAATTCACCCTCCCATACCTCTCCATCCCCTTCTTTATTTCCTTCTCCCCGGCCCTCAATACAATACAAATAAAAATAAATCAAACCCCCACCAAGCCTAGGGGAGCTGGAGAGAGAGGCACACACACGCAGAGGCAGCAACCTCTCTAGTCCCTTTGTTTTTCCTCTTTCACCTTTGGATTAAATAATATACAATGCTGGAACCATGTTTGCTATGCATAACAACCTGTCTTCCGCCTGCAGGGGAGCATCTTGCTGGCGGTGCTCATTAAAGGGGGGACTTTTGCTCCTTTTGCCTCTGATTTGGGGGTGTTCAGTACCCCTTAAAAAATATGCAGCCTGAAGGCAATTCTTAAATGATTCCTGGAGTCCTGTCAAACCCAAATGATCCCACTCAGAATTCTCAAGGAGAACCTAGATTGTGTAGTGAACAAACACATGGGAAGGGGTAAGGAATCATGGGCTGGCAATGCCTGGAATCAGATGAAGCCCATGCTTTAGCAATATAGGATTTGAGATCCACTATCTATGCAAGCGAGATCTCTGCAGCAAATCCTCAGTGAAGGTGTACATTTCTATCTATACCTTGGATCAAGTAATTGAAAATTGGTCACATCTCTGTAAGCTGTATAATAGTCAGAAAGAATATGACTCAGTTACTCCAGGCTGCAGAAAGGAGACATCTTCAGTGATCAGACAAAGCTAGGCTACAAGCAGCAGCTGCTGCTGCTTCAGAACTGGGGGGTGGGGGGGTCGTGGGTGGTGGGGAGTTGAGGGGGACTTGAGGGAGATAAGCTTTTGGTGTCAGGACCAAGAGAGAGAAAGGCACCCTCACACAATGACAGCACCTCAAAATCTGTTTGCTTATCTCATGTCAACCAAGGCCCGCCTTGGTCCTCTAAAAATATTTCAGGACAGCAGATTATACTGTATAAACTAACTAGAGGCAAGCAAAGGGCGGGGAAGATGGAATAAGAGGAATGGAGTAATGGAGTAAAGGTGCCCTCTCCTAGTTCAAATACCCACTTGCTTCTTGTATTAATAATAAATATTTTTTAAAAACAGGAAGATCACAGAGGAGCCCTTAGCCAGTCAGGAGGTTGACTAGAGATCAAAGGCAGAGTTTGCTAATATATAGATCTGGGAAGAAAATTCATGCATGGCAATGCCCCCAAATTGAGATTGTATAATTGTGAATGGGCAAGTGTGAACCTAAGAAGACACAACAAATGATTCAAAGCGAAACATGTGTCTGCTGAGTTTCTGAGCTTTCTGTCCTTATATTTCAAGAACTGGGATTTACAAAGCATTCTAACACCTTCATCTACAAGGCTATGGCCTTGAGCAAAAATACAAATAAAACTAGTGATAATTCAAGAACTTCTGAGGCAAGTCCCCTTTGACCTCAGATACAGACTAGGTTTCTCTCAGATGTTTAATTACTCCAGCCAGCCAGTTGGGTATATCCACACTGGTCTGATTTGGGAAGCCAAACGAGACTTTACGGCTAGCAGAGCCAGGGTGGCAAGAGCTCTGTGGGGCTTTGCTACTTAGAGAGGGGACCCTGAGTTTGGTCCTGCTTGCTAACCTGGCCTCGATGAATGACCCTCACTCAGACGCAGACACATATTTACATATAGCGTGTTTTACATGCATTATCTGCCCGGATGCTATGGATCATTCTCAGCCCCAGACAATGCAATGTGAAAAGGACTCCTTGGTACCCAAGCAGATTCTTTTTTTTTTTTTAAGATCCATCTGGCATCCCCCCAGGTCAGTAAAATATCTATCTGACATTTACGATTAGGGTCTCCAGCATACAAGGTCACTTCCCGACTCCCAAACAGGCTGCTCCAAAAGAGACAAGCCCAGGAAAAGCCTGCTTGGGCCCTGTGCTGACTGCTTCCATTTCTTCCCTCCTTTGGAGACAAATGTATGTAGCTGGGCCTGCCTGCCAGGTATCAGCCAGCCAACTCTGTGGCTTCCCTTCGGCAGGAGCCTTGGTTCTGGCCTATCTTCCCAGTCTGAATATTCGCTCACCCCTTTGCAACAGGATTCCCCCAAATGTGGACAGAAGGTATGCGTTCCCAGATCAACTGGGGGGTTGTGGTGACAAAGCTAGGTGACCAGGGAGTGTAATGCAGTACATATTTATGCTCCATGAGTTATACCCCAGATAAGAAAATGAGGCAGAATGTGCAAAATCCATGTCACACTTTTTATATGGTAGTGTCAATGTGGGAACTCTCAATATTTCTTCTACAGTATATGGAAAAGAAATTATGTAAATAAATAACCATTACTGCTCAGGCCCTCCTGGCTTAGCCTTTGTAGTGCAGAGAATGTATTTCATGTTGTGCATTCAGAAGAGTTTAGTGTTCAGGAAATATAGATGTAATCAGTTGCTATAACTAGAAATCAAAGTTATTATTGTGCTGAAAATGGATTTATTGTATTTATGTTAACTAGATGGCTCCTTTCAGAGAAAGTCTCATTTATTTGAAGGAATATTTAGGTGTATGAATTAATGAATTTTTTAAAAAAGTAAGTTCAGGTCACGACCTAGTCCTTGGATGGAGTCCAGAATATTAAGGATTAAACATACCATCCGGAGGCCAAATGTGAAAACCACCACGGGGGACCCCCGTGCCAGCTTCAAATACTTAGCCAGAGTAAACCACATTGGACAATACGTCTAAAACTGTCTTTTCCATCATTCAAAGTTTGCTTAAAAGTTGGATGACTTTGAGAAGGCTTCCCATGAATTCCCTTCTGGCTAGCAATCAAAACAAGTTTAGTCAAAAGTGGAAATGTGTTGCATGGGGGGTGGGGGTGAATTAATACTGACAGCTCTATTTCCATTTTCAGATATTCTGCTCGCAATTTTCCAACAAAATAATGTTATTGTTCATTTCTAGGCACTCCTTGCACCTTGAAGACTTGATTCAAGAAACTTCTTTGGAAAACTTTTTAAAGGAACACTTTTCACAGGAATGTTTTAGGCTGGTAAGTTAAAAGAAAACCATGAATAATTCCACAATGTTTCCCTGCAGACTGCACAGTCCTCACCTCTCTCTGGGAAAGGGCATGAGATTAACAAAGTCAAGGGGATTCAAAGAACCTTAGGGGGAGTAAGGAAAAGAGAGGGGAGACCTTTCCTGAGAAGACCTCTGTCCAGTTCCAAGTCACATTTCTGCTTCAAGACACCTCGCTGGATGAGATTTTGAAACCCCAGCTTCCCTGACACTGGCTTGCTTCCTGATGAATTTGGCTAAAGAGCCTGGTAGTAGAGAGCCAGCCAGGCCCCAGGCCTGCCAGAGCTGAAGCAGCCTGGTTGCTGCTTCCCAGGCTCTTTGTCACTTTTGAAAAACACGTTTCCATCAAGAAGACTTATTAAGACAAAATGCATTCAAACACCAAGGAGGCTATTCCATAAATCTTCCATTTGTTTTAAGGTTTGCACTTTATCCTCTTGGAAAGAATAACTCCCTCTCTCACTAGCAGACCTGCATTTGCACTGAAAGTAAAAGGGGGGCAGTCCAAGTCCATGGCTCTGGCCACCCTGCATACAAATGAGATGCTCTTGTCTAAATAAATTATCTGCTGTTCAGATCGATATTAATACTACATTTGCTACATTACAATATTGTGCAAATTTAAGAGTCATTTTAATACAATGTAAATACGATTCTTCACGCATGAAAGCCAAGAAATATTGATAGATTATACCGTTGCTTACTGTTCAACAAGGCCTTAGGAAAGGGATTTTGCCATCTCTGCTCACGAATGGTTTTAATTTGGCCATTGGAAAGCCTGGCTCCAGGATAGATTTATTAGGATGGTTTATTTGTTCTCTGAATGGAGGAATTAAAAACAATAGTGCCAATAATGGTGGTAAAACTGCAGCTAACCCTACTCACAGTGGGCAGGGCCCAAGACCCAGTCTAAGCAGCCTTCTCTGTGGCTTTGTTTCTATTTCCCCCGATTACCTGCTGTCCTGCGTGTTTATATATTTCCCTCTTGCAGTTTACAATAATAAAAAGCGGGCAATGTTCTCGGAGGCTCAGACCAGAGCCCTTCAAAGGAAACATTAATGCACTTTCCTGGAAGTTAATTTGAACCATCTATCATAAGAGAAATTGTTAGCATGCATGTTACCACTGCCTACACATAATTTGATATTTTTTAAGGCATTCTGTTAAATTTCCAATGTTTATGTGTTTTGCATAGCTTTGGAATTCATCTCTAGGCGGGGAATCCTCCTATACTTGCGGGTTCTACAGTATTGCTTTTGTTTTTTATCTTTCTTGTTTAGATCGAATCCTTTTTTTACGACCCTCAATAACCTCAGCTACTGCAAACATGAATGGTTTCCGATAAGGGAAAATCAGGCAGCAATAAAGCGGGGTTATTTATGATTTATTTGTGCGTATTCTTCTCTTTCCACCTCACTCTGTGTCTCCCTATGTCGGGAAACTCATCCAAGGAGCGTGCCATACAGGGTAAGAAGCCACATTCCCACGTTCTCTTCCTTCCCTTGCCTCCCCCAGAAACGCTGAGCTCTGGCTCACCCATAACACAAACCACACACACACACACACACACACACACGCACACCCGCTCACTTGCGCAGCCAGACAGATCCACAGTACTGCCCCCCCCCCCCACCGCCAGCCTCAGACACACACCCGCGGCAGCCGCGGTCCCACACAAGTGTCCGGGCTACTAGGCCCGGCCACCCGCCGGCCACACCCGCGCCGCCTCGGCTCCCGCACCGCCTCGCTCCCAAGATGGCAGCTGCGCGGCCGGCCGGTCCCCGCGCGAGGGGTCGCAGACCCGGGCCAGGCTCGGTGTCCGGCAAGGGCCCGGCCCGCCCTGCACCCGCTGCGCGGGAGGCTCCAAAGGCCAGGCCCGGGCGGCGCGGGGCCTGCGCTCGCCGGCACCGCGGCCTGCCCTCCCCGCGACCGCAGCCTCACCTGACGTGAACAGCACGATGGCTTTGAGGCAGCTGTACTCGGCCGAGTCGACGTGCAGCGCCTTGAGCTTCTCCACCTGCTCCTGGAAGATGCGGATGTGGTCCATGAAGGCCACGACGCGATCGGCGGACATGGGCGAGGCGTGCAGGCCGGCGGCGGCCAGCAGCGGCGCCACGTGCAGCGGCATAGAGCACTGGGCCGCGTTGAGCACGAACAGCTCGCTCCAGGTGAGGCGTAGCAGGGACACCTGGTCGGTGATCTGCAGATCCGGGAAGAAGGGGATGTTGCGGGCCCACTCGACGGCGCTGAAGAGCAGGCGCGCGGCCAGCTCGCAGATGTTCTCGATGCCCATAATGTTGTTGGGCTGCATGCACTGGCTGCCGTAGCGCGACGTGGGGTAGGGCTCGGCGCGCAGCAGCAGCGAGATGTAGCCGGACAGGTAGCAGTGGCCGTTGAGGGGGTCCCCGTTGGTGAGTGCGTACTGGCCTGGATTGGGCTGGGTTGGAGGCATTCTTCCTCGCTGAACCGCTGACAAAAAGAAAGAGAGAAAAGAGGCAATGTGCATCCAGGGGGCTTGCGAACATTGCCGCGCCGCAGCGTACCCAACACAATGCAGAAGCTCTTCCCGCAGCCACACGCGACCCGCGCATCTTCTCTGGCTTGCTCTTACAGTCCACACCGCGAGGAGATCTGGGGTGAGGCCCTCCAGCTCCGCAGCTCGATGTGTCCAGCCATCGCCTGAGCCCCTGGCCACCTCAGCCCCGCCAGAACTAGGCCTGACTCCAGGGTCCCCACCCTGGCAAGGCCAAGAAAGTGCCACCCAACCCCTAAGCCACCAAGGAGGAACACAAAGATAAATGAAACCTCAGTCACCCCTTCAGAATGAAAAAAAAAAAAAAAAAATCAGAGATTAAAAAAAAGGCCAAACCGGAGGAAGGTTATGGTTCTAGACAAATGCCTAGCGGCCTCCTCATTTGCAAGCAAGCAGCGTTTTGCTGATAAAATGTTTCCATATTCTCTTAAAATGCTATAGAATAATTCTCAAAATAGACAGAAGTTGCATATCCTACTAACCACTTACAACTTTTGAGTAGAGAACAAGTATCCTGCACCCCTCCCTTCTCCCCTCCTCCCGGTCGCCTCATACAAAGTTCTCACTATTAAAAGCAACAGAAAATTGAAAATTTTCAAGAAAAAATGTTGAACTTACAGTAGCCAAACATTATTGAAAAAAGTGGGAAATATAATTAATGTCTGTCCTGTGCGGTGCCACTGCAACCTGCAGCCAGCTTTTGCCCAGTGAATGCACGAGCTTTCAACTGCAAAAACACTGGATTCATTAACCATCTGAATGCAAAACGTAAGCATGCTTTGAGTTCTTAAAGCTGACCAAAGTTTTTTTTTTTTTTTTTTTTAATGTGTATGTTTTACTTCAACAGTGCCAGCGTTTTAAATTGCCATGTAAACAAAGACAACTTTAGGAAAAGTTAGGGCTACTGAACTCTCCCCCCAACAAATTAATACAGCTATGTTCATGTACATGTAGCTGTCTTATTTCAGGTTTTGCCCTATTTTCTTAAGTTTGCTTTGAATCTAATTTTAATACAAGTTCCAGTGCAATTTAAGCTCTTGAAACATAATGGCTAGAATACTTTTTTCTAATTATAGTTTTGAACTTGGCAGTTATTTTTCAATTAAGTGAGAGTACAATTTAAAGTTTTTTTTCAGCGTAACAGTGACCCGTCCCAGATGCCTACAAAATCTCCCTGGAGCTAGAAATGAAGTAGTCATATTTGCCTGCTCCTTGAGATCTGAAGGAATTCAATTTCTTTTCTTCTGGCATATAAAATATAATTTTAAAGTCAATTACAAGAAAGTAATCTGCATTCTGCAAAATTGACTGGTTCTCTAATTTGACTATAAGACATCTTTAATGATTGTCAGGAGATAAACTTTAACTGTAAACGGCTATATATATTTATAAGAAAAGTACTGCATCTCTTGCCACATGAACATGAAGCAGATCCAGATACAACATCAAAAGTTGTGTTTTTTTAAAAAAACAAACCCATACAACACAGGGATTAAATGATGTGGAAGCTCATGCCAGCTGCAGTCTATGCATTATGGCCAAATCAGAAGGATCGGTAAATGCCGTTGTAAATTGTAATTTGTATGCAGTATTTAAGGAGAGGGTGGAGTTTGATGAAGAAATAAAACGAGTATCATGCTTTAAAAAAAATGACACAACTATGAAAGCACGGTTCAGTCACAAACTTTCCTTTCAAAGTAGAGGGGTGAAAACAAGGCCACAGCTCTGGAGGAGGCGGCCCCAGCTCCGTGAAGAAGAGAGGGAACCAGTGAACGGGCCAGAAGCCCCCCTTCCCCCCTAATTAGACCTACAAGTGCAATAAATCTCACTCCTCTTTTTCCAAGCTAAGCTTCCAAAAGGATGATGGCAGCAATGAATCTATGGTTCAGGGTACTCCAGCCCCCAGCCCTCCCCCATTTTAAATAAAGGGTATGAAGAGGTGGAGGGAAAAGTGGAATGAAAAAACACAGAAACAGAGTTTTCTGGAGGAAATAAGCACCCCTCCCCAAGTTCATGCCAGCACAGCCCCAAGCAGCCTCACGCACACGCGGGAAAGAGACACACACCAAGCACATCCAAGTCAGAGGGAAGAAGGGGATTTTAAGCCACAGCTCACGATCCCAGGGACACAATCCTGAGCAGGCAGCGGGCGGGGTGGGGGAGCCGGGGAGATGAGCGCAGGCCGGGAGGGGGAGGCAGCGGCAGCGAGCTGGAGAGTGGGGGAGACGCCGGGGGAGGAAGGCAGCGGGGAGAAGGGAAGCTGGGACGGGCCGGGACCACAGGAGCCCCAGCCCCACACAGCAACCACCCGGGCGAGAAAGAAAGAAAGAGCCAGGGAGGCGAGCGAAGCGCGGGGAGAGAAGCAGAGAAGAAATATTCACCTTCCCGCCTCATGCCCACTTTGAGGCACTTCTTGAGGCGGCAGTATTGGCACTGGTTGCGGTGGTGCTGGTCGATGGGACAGTTCCTGTTGGCACGGCATGTGTAAGTTAAGTTCCTGCGGACGCTCCTCTTGAAGAAACTTTTGCAGCCCTCGCAGGTGAATTGGCCGTAGTGCTTGCCGCTCGACTTGTCCCCGCACACCACGCACTCGATGTGCTGCTGGCTCTGGCCCGAACCGGGCGGGCCCTGGCCCTTGTCCCCCGCCGTGCCGGGGGTGGCGGGCGCTCCGGGCTGGCCCGGGGTCTGCGGCGTGTGCGGCGCGCCCGAGCCCGCCTGCTGCTGCTGCTCGCCGGCGCCGCCGCCGCCGCCGCGGGCCGCCTGCGCTGCGGGGTTGGGGCCGCCGGGGTTGCCCCCGGCCACGTCGTCCTGCGGATCTCGCCAGCTGCTAACTACCATTGCCATATCTTTGGGCCCGGGGAGCGCTGGGGGGAGCCGAGCTGCTCGCCGAGGGCCGCGGGGCGCGCGGGCGCGCTGGGAGGGGAAGGGGAAGGGGAAGGGGGGAGGGGGAGGGGGCGGGGGGCCCGCCGGGCGCCCCGGGGTCGCAGGAGCCGAGCCCGAGCCGGGCACCGGCCGCTGCCTCCGCCGCCGCCGCCGCTGCCGCCGCTACTGCCTCGGCCGCCCCGCTGCTGCTGCGCGCCCGCCCGCCCTGCTGGCGTTTTGTTGTGGTTCCTGCTGTTTTCTTTCTCTCTTTTTGCAGCCCCCCCAGGCTCTCAGGCTCCCCCCCCAACACCCCTGCTCCCCTCGCCCGCTCCCCCCGCGCTCCGTTCCTGGGGGGGCCGCGCTCTCCTTCCCCCCCTCCCCACCCCCCGGCGAGCAAGCTCCCTTCTCTCGCTTTTTTCTTCTTCCCCAAGTTGCAAAATCAGAAATGGCACAGGCGGCAGCCGGGAGCGGCGCGGGGCGCAGCGCCGGGGGCGGCGGGCATGGGCCACGGCGCGCGCACACACTCGCCCTCCGCCTCGCCCGCACCCCCGCGCACACACACACTCGCACACACACTCGCTCACCCGCGCCGGGCGCCCGCCCGCCCGCCGGCCGCTCGGGCTACGCGCAGCGCGCGGGCTGAGCCGACATAGAGGAAGCCGGCGAGGGCGGAGGCGGCGGCGGCGGCGGCGGAGGAGGAGGTCGCGGCTGCAGGCGCCGCTGGAGCTGCCGCCGGAGCTGCTGCAGCGAGCGCCGCTGGAGGAGCCGGGGCCCGGGCGGGAGTCCGAGCAGGAGTCGGGGCCGCAGCCGGAGCGCGAGCGGAGGCCGGGGCCGCCCGCGCCGCCGCCGCTGTCCCGGCGGGAGCCCTCGCCGGGCTCGGAAGTGTGGGGAGCGCGGTGAGCCAAGCAGGGCGCTGGGCGAGGCTGCCGGCGGCGATCAGGGCGCGCGGGTGTCGGGGGGCCAGGTCCAGGGCCGGACGCAGCCAGCCATTCAGGAAGGCAGCGCTGGAGAGCGGGAGGCAGCCGGCGAGGAAGATCACACACTTTGCTCTTTTTGTTGTGCCGGTGGCGCCGGGCTCTCGCTGCCTTCTTCTTTCGGGAGGTGACGAAAGGGGGAGAAAAATACGGGATAATTCACGCCGGCGACGAATTCACAGCGAAATAGAAAAAATAAAAATCAGAAGAAAATAATTGCCAAAAAAAAAAAAAAAAAAAAAGGAAAAAGGAAAAGCGAGAGAGACATCCAAAGTAGGTCGAATAAATAATCCTCTTCTTTTCCTCTTTCTTGCTCCTTCTTCTGCTTCTTCTGCTATAACACACAGAGCTAGTTAAAAAAACCCTGGAGATCGCCCAAAAATGTTCTTTTTTTAGTATTTTAAATAAGTGCTCTTCAGCCGGGAACCAACACCCTCCCTCCAAAAAAAAATCATATATGTATAAAATAACGATAAGAAGAATACGAAGGGGGTGCCTCCTCCTCCTCCTCCTCTTCCTTTTTTTTCTTTAAGTTTAGCCCTCTCTCTTCTGCAGTAATGGAGTAAAAGACACAAGGAGGAGGGAGAAAAAGGAAAGGAAGAGGAGAAGAAGAAGGGGAAAACAACTAGTAGAATATGTAAGAAAAGAGGAAGGAGAGAGAGAAGAGAGGTTCAGAGAGGACAGGAGAGAGAGACAGAAGAGAGGAGGGAGAGAGAGGGGGGAGAAAGAGAGGAGGGGGAGAGAGAGAGAGAGAGAGGAAGAGAGAGAGAGAGAGACCCAAAAATTGAATGCGTTTAAACGGGAGGACTCGCAGAGCAATGTTTCCGAAAGGGGGATCTGCGCGAATGTCTGTATATAGTGAACTTTGACACTACTATTGAAACTGACACGTTTCTATGGAGATCGCTGCCTTATATGGAGCTCGTGTCAAGGAGCCAAGAGAAGGGCTGCTGGCAACTGATAATCAAAGGCGACTGACTGGTCAGAGCCCTGAATCGGGGGGAGAGAAAATGGGAGGCTAAGGTTAGCCAAGCCTCCCGCACGCCATTGGTTGGAGAGCCCCTCCCCCCCTCCTCTTTTGCTTTCTTTCTTTTTTTTCCCCCTCCCTCTTAGCTACCTACAGACTGGGATGGTGTGGGGAGGAGGAGAGAAAGTGAGGGAGGGGGGTGTGTTTCTGACAAGCGCAATTTACATTGAGATCGCCCTGCGCTGCTATTTACTCTGAGACCTGATTAGTATGGGTCGTCTATGGTCACACACACACACACACACACACACGCTCGCATACACCCCAGAGGGGGAAGGGATGACTAGGGGGAGAACGCCTAGAGATGGGTAAAAGGAGAATTAGAAGGAAATTATTTTGATTTCTTTTGAAAAGTTTTTAAAATTAGATTTTATGAGCGTGAAGAGAGTGTCATTGAAAATGTTTGGAAAAATTTTTAATGGGGATGAAACCCCCACCATTTTAATGATTCGTGAAATATACTGGATTTGGATTGTTTTCTTCTCTCACATACAAGCACAATCCAAGTCTGGATTCTACTCATTTTATATCCTTTTTAGAAACAGGTAGGATCTCCCTATATTTTGATCCAAAGTATACCTTGGTTTAAAAGGTTTAATGACGACAAAGCACACTCCTGGAATTTGCAGCTATTGCCACAAATTCGATCGGAGTCAAGGGTTCCTATTTATCCCAAAGATGATTTTAAAAATAAACTTTCCAATCAATCCAATTTTTCCTTCTTCTTCTTTTTTTAAAAAAATCACCTGACTGTTCCAAACTACAAACAATGCTTCAATAATCATTAATAAAACAGTAGTAAGTCCTCGTTTTGTTGTGGGAGGGTGGCGATTAGTGTGGCCAAGTCAGTCCCGGGAAAAGAGCAAACCGACGAGAAGACGGAGGGGGGGGGAGGGGGAGAGGGCGAGGAGAGGAGAGAGAGACCGAGAGAGAGAGAGAGAGAGAGAGAGACCGAGAGAGAGAGAGAGAGAGAGAGACCGAAAGAGAGAGAGAGAGACCGAGAGAGAGGAGAGAGAGGGAAGACAGAGAGAGAGAGAGAGAGAGAGAGAGGAGAGAGAGGAGAGGGAGAGGAGAGAGAGACCCCGGTTCCCGAAGGTGATTGGGCGCGGGAGGAGGGGCAGCGGGAGGAGCGGGTCCCGCGGCGGGGCTCGCAGGAATCGCTGGCTCCGGCTGCCACCTAGCGGACGGGAGCCGCTCCCGGGCGGCACAACGCCGAGTCCCTCCTCCCCTCCCCGCAGGCAGCCTGTGCCTTTTCTCCAAACGAAGACAGCACTTTGAAAATTCTTTCAATGGATTTTTTTTTCCTTGAAAGATCGTACTGGGGGAAAATGATACTTCTATTAGTTACATATTCTCCAATCGCATACTCGCACCCCCCTCGTTTTGAGATCGCTCCCCTAGGCAGGCTCAGGCGGGCGCGGAGCGGCGCGGAGTGACAAAGCCGCTGCTGCCGCCGCCGGGGGTGGGAGCCGCTCTTGCCCGCCCGCCCCTCGACTCGCGAGGGCGTAAAAGTTTGTCTCAGCTCGAGCATTCGTAGCGCCAACACGCCCTCAGGTAAAGGTGGAAGTAAATGGCCACGCTGTATTGACAGAGGTAGGGTTTGTTTTTTAATACTCGTTCTCACTTGAGGTCTCACCAGGGAGGGGTTTGGGAAGCACTGCGTGTTTGGGGGATGTTTTGCGCTTCCCGGTCTCCCTAGCCTACAGGCCGGGAGTCGGCGACCGCTTAGTGACGAGCGATGATTTTAAAGAGCAGACTACAAGGCTTTCCGGTGCCTGCCCCGCAGCCCCTCCAGCTCGAATGATGGAGAGACTGTCAATGCACTCCGCGAGCGCTGGCCCATTGTACGCGGCTGATGGCGAGGAGGCGACTGGGGCTGGCAGGGGCTCCTTGCCCTCGCCCCTATGCCCCAATAAACGCGCAAACGCGCTCCCATCTTCTGGTCACTTAAAAGGTGAAACGAACACGATTAAAATAGACCAAAAAAAGAAAGAAAAGAAAACCTTTCTATGTACAAATTCTAAATCGTACTCCCCATACAGCCAGAGGCAGGGAGTCGAGGGCAGAGGCAGCAGGCAAAGAGAGGGAGACAGGGCGCGGGAAGAACCCGGAGAGAGACGGAGGGAGTGGGAGACGAGCGAGAGCGAGCACCAGGGCACCGCAGGCACGCTGGACGCCCGGTCCACAGGCCCAGCCGCCCTCGGACCCTGGACCGTGCGTCGTGGGCACCAGAAACGAGACTCGGCCAAATCCTGCCTCACCAGGCAAGTAACGCAATGGTTATCGTTTCTCTTGAACTTGGGGTTGGTGACGGGCAGCGCCGGGAGGCAGTCTAGGTTTGCACGGCCTCCGCGGGCCGGGAGCAGAGTCTAGGCAGCCGGGGCGGGACGAGGAGAACTTTCCGCGGGGCCTGCTCGGGAATTGCCCTCGCTCGGCCTCTGTCTCGCCCCGGCGCGAAGGCAAGGATCGCGGCCGCCGCACTTCCCTGGAGGAGAGGATCGTGCCAGGCGAGCAGCAGCAATCCACATTCAAAATAGGCGGCCCCCACCCCTACCTGCTATTCCCTATGTCCCCCTCGGCGGGAAACAGCTGCCCAGGCTAGGGACCGGGACCCGCACGTTTAACACCGGACAGGCTGTTTCTGCTGGTGCCTAGCGGGACCCGCGGTGGAGCCGGCTTAGGAGTCCGGCCCGGCTGGCTCTTGTGCCCGTGCCTTGCCTGTTGCGGCCAGAACCTGGCGAGCCTGGATCCAGCCGCCCACCTGCAGGCGCCGTTTGTAACGCCATGCCCTAATGTAACGCGATCGATGGCTGCCTGTCTGATGTGGGCGATAGTGTCAGCGGATTAAAAGGGACATCAAGCCGCTCTCCCGAGCGGACAACCTGCGGCGGCGGCGGCGAGAGCACCGGGATTCGCAGCCTAGCAGCAGAGCCAGACTCCTCGCGCCGCTGCCAGCGGGCTGGGGGCGGGGAGGGGGTCGCCTCCCAGGGGTGGGGAGAGAAGGGGAGTGTTGAAAGGAAGAGGCTCAATTAAAACCTACAAGAGCGGTTTCCTCTGTGCCGGGCAGGGGCGTGCGTTTGCGTCAGAGGGCGCGCGGGGGGCGGGGGCAGCCGACGCCTGGGACCGCACCCGGGGGCTGGGTGGGCTCTGGAG